AGGAGGAGGAGGAGGAGGAGGAGGAGGGAAGGGGGAGGAGGTGGAGGAGGAGGACAAGGGAAGAGGATAATGAAAAAGAGGGAGATGCAGAAGAACAACGAAACGGCACCTTCGATATTTTTAGTTATTAAAATTCTTCTCCTTTTCTGAAACACGGTAATTTCTCTTCCCCTTCCAATGTCTTACCTTTACTATCAACATCTTTTTTAACCGTATTCTAGGCTACTTAAGTCAAAACATTTCACCACGACCGACTGATTCACTAGCTTCAAAAATCTTCCACCTTGACACGTTGAGTTCAACTTACGACACAACAGGATCAAATATCACGAAACAGTTTTCTTCTTTAAAAAAAAAAAAAAGAACCAAAATTGCAAAAGTCAAATCAAACTGAAAACTATTGTCCAATTTAATAAATTGATAACAATTGCCGTCGATATTCTCCAAGTTCTTTTCCGCGGTATATTGGCCCCTCAGCTTTCTTTCCCTGTAACGGCGTAACATTGACGTCATATCCTGTCTCTCCCTCTCCCCAGGCCGGCCACATCTGCTGCACCTTCTCCCAGACCTGTACCACGCCATACAGCCTCAAGTAGGGGACTGACTCTGTGCTCTACGTCATAGACACTGTGCTCTACGTCATATACCCTGTGCTCTACGTCATAGACCCTGTGCTCTACGTCATAGACCTTGTGCTCTACGTCATAGACGCTGTGCTCTACATCATAGTGCTCTACGTCATAGTGCTCTGTGCTCTACATCATAGACCCTGTGCTGTACGTTATAGACTATGTGCTCCATGTCATAGACTCTGAGCTCTACGTCATAGACTCTCTGCTCTTCGTCATAGTGCTCTACGTAATAAACGCTGTGTTCTACGTCATAGACTCTGTGCTCTACGTCATACGTTCGACCCCACGTGACCTCGTCTCTTCTCGTCGCATCGGATCTCATAAAGGCTTAGTTCTCGAAACTCATGCAATCTCATTTTTCTCTTGTCTCCATCTCCCCGCATCACGTCTAATCCAAGTTCTCTCAACTCATTTCATTTTCTTTTCTGTCTCCGTCTCATTAGATCTCGACACCTCTTAGTCCTCTCATCCTATCTTATTTTCTCTTCTGCCTTCATCTCTTTTCGTGTGATCATATTATTTCACTGCTTCTCCACACACCTCATCAAATGTCGTCATATCTAATCTCATCATGTCACATCTCATGTCATCTTCTCCTTCTACGTGACGCTGAACTGAGAGGAAAAGTTCGCCTCTGACGTGGTCATCAGAATACGGTCATCTCTTGCCAGAATCACCGACGAGACAGCAGACAGAAAGAAAGAACGAGCATTCAAACTGCACACGAATCCTGGGACATAGATCTAGCATTAGAACATCCATGACAACGACCCGCGACACGAACTCCTGCCTTCCGTTTCCGTCTCGAGCCATCACTTGCTTTGTAATACTTAAATGTTTATTTTTCTTTAATTAAATAATGATACGTTATATAATTATAATTATTTCCTGCTGCAGTCTATGGTACCTGTTTACTGTGTCATGCTGTGAAGGCTCGACGGTTGCTACGGGGAGTATCTGCTTTGTCGAAGACTTGGAAATAAAATAAATTTGTATTACTG